AGCCAGGTGCTCCACCTGCCGCAGCAGCAGCTCGATTTTTGACTTGAGGAGACCAGGGAGCTTTATTGGTGAAAACGGTGAGCATCGAGAGAGGGAGGAGATAACACATGAGGAAGGTGGGGACGGGGGGAGGAACGGTGAGGTGGATAAGGGGGTAGAGAAACAGAGAGAGAGAGACGAAGAGAGGAGAGAAGAGGAGAGAGAGAGGAGAAAGAGAGAAAGAGGGGAGGGAGGAGAGAGAAAGGAGAGACAAGCGAGAGAGAGAGAGAGAGAGGACGATGGAGAGGGAGAGAGAGAGAAGAGAGAGAGAGAGAGAGAAAAAGACGAGAGAGAACAAGATGAGAAGAGAGAAGAGAGAGAGAGAGAGATGGGCGAAGAAGGAGAGAAGAGAAAAGAAGAGCAGAGAAGTACGGGGCCAGAGATATAGTGGGAAGAAATCAGTGTGATATGGTGAGAGAGGGAGGGGTGTAAGGGACGAGAGAGTGTCGTTTGTGGTAAGGAAAGCAAACAAAGAGAGGGTGAGGAAAGCCTATAACGGAGATGTAAGGGTACGTGAAAGAGTTTGTACGCCGTCCACGGAGGAAGGGTTTGAGAGAAATCGTTAGCAGTGTATACGAAATGCTTAGTAGTTAGTATCAGGAATATAACTTGATTGTGCAAAAGCAAAAAATTAACAAGAGGGACCGAGGGGCAGTTTGAGGCGCGAAATTTGGTCGGTGTCTACAACCAGGCTGTTAAAGTCGGAAGTGTCAACTGGGTCTTTGGGGTGTCATTCAACTGCGGTAGGGCGTCAGGGTTCAGTTTAGGATTCAGTTCAGAAGATACATTGGGTTCAGTTAAGACAGCTTCAACAGACTGCTGTCCGTAGCTTCCCGTAGCTGTCCCTGTAGCTGTTCCGTAACTGTAGCCGTACCTGCTACCGTAAGCTGTCCCGTAGCTGTCCCGTAACTGCTACGCTACCTGTCCCGTAGATGTCCTGTAGCTGTCCCGTAGTCTTCTGTACTGTCCTGTACTGTCCTGTAAACTGTCCGTAAACCTGTCCCGTAACTTGTCCTGTAGGTTCATCCGTAACTAGTCCGTAGCTGTCCCGTAACTTGTGCGTACCTGTCCCGTAGATGTCCCGATAACTGAGCGTGGCTGTGCCGTCGTAGATGGTCTCGTAATGGCCGTAGCTGTCCCGTTAGCTGTCCCGTAGCTGTCCCGAACTGTCCGTAAGCTGTCCTGTAGCTATCCCGTAACTGTCCCCGTAGCTGGTCCCGTAACGTTAGCGTAACCTGTCCGTAGTGTCCTGTAACTGTAGCCGTACCTGTTTCGTAGATTGTCCCTAACTGTCCTGATAGTATCCCATAACTGATCCTCGTAGCTGTCCCAGTAACTGTAGCGTACCTGTCGCTTAGATGTCCCGTAACTGTAGCGTACCTGTCCGGTAACTGTCCCTAACTGTCCCGCTAAACTTGTTCCCGTAACTGTCCTGTAGCTATCCCGTAAACTGTCCCGTAGCTGCTCCCGTAACTGTTAGCGTACCTGTCCCGTTAGATGTCCTGTACTGTAGCGCTACCTGTTCCGTAGCATGTCCCGTAAACTGTCTCGTAGGTATCCCTAACTGTCCCGTAGCTGTCCCCTAGAACTTGTAGGCTGAAACCTGTCCCGTAGATGCCCGTAAACTGGTTCTTGATAGCTATTCCATAACTGTCTGCGTAGCTGTCCGCGTAACTGTAGCGTACCTGTCCCTAGTCATTGCTATCGTTGTAGTATTGACACTCTCCGATGTCGCGACATTTGCAGCCATTCCGCCGTATTTGGAGATTACTCCGCACGCCCGTACGCAGAGACCCCACTTCACGCCGATGACGCCACGGCACCGCCTACAATCGAGCTACGGCTACGCCTTGCAGCCGAACCTGCCCGGCTACCTGGGGAACGACGTGTCCGTCAGGGCGGTCTGCCGACTGCTCGCCACTGTACGGCCCGAACGCTGGGTATCTATCACCGTATCGACAGCGCAGCCGGGAAACAACAGCAAGACACAAGTCGCGCAGCGGACCGGCGCGAGTCAGCGAGAAGAAAGGTAGGGCGCCGCGCATCACCATATGAGAGCGTAGACTGTTATTCACGCAGCTTTGAGCATTGAGCGGAGAGCCCTTGTCAGAAACAAAATTAGTCATTCACATTAGTTTAACATTAACAATTTCTCGTAGACCTCCGACAACACTTTGTGTTTCGTATTGTATATGAGGAGATCTGCCCTACCGATTTTCATTTTCGTTAACTCTCGCAGGTTTCGGTCAACGGTCTAAGAGAAAAAATTATGTTAATTAAGATTAATAGCCAATTTTGTTTCGGAACAACGGGCCTCGGGTTCCTTAACCCAGCCCGCTGGTCGCCATTGGGCCAACCCTTTTAGTAATGCGATTTGTACAAAGATTCCACGTGAGTGATTAAGTATTTGATGCATTTTACTACGCAATGAAAACGCGGGCAGCGGTAAAAAAGAAGACAGCCAGCGAAAAAAGAGAGCGTTTACATTAGCTGATAGATAACGCCTCTTGTTAATAGTTAAATCGCGAAATCACGCTATGAAAAATTAGAGTGGGTGTGCAGCACAGCATGTCATCAACGATGTAGGAGCGGCAAAATCGAATGGACGTGCACGTGTATGTGTCGTCGCGTCGTCGTGCTGTGCGTGTGTGTTCGTGTGTGTGTGTGTGTGTGTGGTCGTGTGTCGTGCGTGTGTGCGTGTGCGTTGTGGGTTGTGTCGTGCGTGGCGTGCTGCTTGTGTGCTGGGTCGATGTAACCGAGTGCGTGCTCGTACGGTGCGCGTTGTGTTGCTGTGCGTCCGTGCTGTAGTGTCGTGTGGGTGTGTGTTATGTGTCCGTGCGTGGTGCTGCGGTGCTGTGCGTGTTTGGTGTGTGTGTGTTGTGTGTTGCGTGCGTAGGCGTGCCTGCCCGTGCGTGCGTCGTCGTGCGTGCGTGTGTTACAGATTTTGTTCGTGGCGTGCGTCGGTGCGTGTGGGTGTATGTGTGTGTGTGTGTGTGTGCGTGCGTGCGTGCGTGCGTGCGTGCGTGCGTGCGTGCGTACGTGCGTGCGTGCGTGCGTGTGTTGTATGTGTGTGTGTATCTGTGTGTGTGTGCGCGCGCCCGCGTGTGTGTGTTGTGTCTGTGCGCGCGAGAGTACATGCGTGTCTGTATGCCCGCGCGTGTACGTGTACGTGTGTGTGCATATGTGTGTGAACGTGTGTGTTTATGTTCGGGCACGCGAAGGTACATGCGTGCGTGTGTACGTGTGCGCGCGTGTGCGTGCGTGTGTGTGCATGTGTGTGAACGCACGATCGACCGTGCGTGCGTGCGTGTTTGCGTGCGTGTATGTGTAAAGTCCACATGTCACCTCGTTCACTGATGACATTCCTTCGTCTTCTGTACACGCAGTTCTGAGAACCTCTGCCTCCACCACCAACGGCTCCGTCCATCGCAACACGAACCAGAATCGCCCGACGACCGGCGACAGCGCCGACGACTCCGCCGATAAACCTGGCGGCACGCAGACGGAAACCGACGCCTGCAGCGCCGCCGGTGCCGGCGCCACCGTCGCGCAAGATGCGCCCGACGCCGACGCCGAGAGCGTCCGATCGAAGCCGCCGGTGTCGCAACCTGGCGGCGTGGCTCGTAAGGGGGCGGGGGCGTCGAGCGCGCTGGCGTCGCCGGGGGGTTCGCGTGGGAGGGACGGGAGGAAGAGCGGTGGTGTGCGCGTGGTGGCCAACGTGCGGATGCCTCCGTTGAAGACGAGAGAACAGATGGATCAGCTATAACGCGACACGCGCGAGGCAGAAGTGCCGCGGAGGGAGGCGGGCGGCATGGGAACAGTAAGAGGGGAGGGCAAGGGAAATAGGGAACGAGAGAGAACTAGAGACTAAGAGAGAGGGAGAGGGGGCGAGCGCAAGAGAGAGCAAAGAGGAAGTGGATGGTGGGAAAGAGGGAGAGAAAAAGAGAAAAAGAGAGAATGACAGAGTGCGTATGTGTGTGTGTGTGTGTGAGAGAGAGAGAGAGAGAAAGAGAGAGAGAGAGAGAGAGAGAGAGAGAGAGAGAGAGAGAGAGCGCGCGAGAGCGTGTGCGTGAGACAGAGATATCGAGAGAAAGAAGGCCGTCTTCCTGTGTAGCAGCAGTGTCTACATGTTTGTCTATTATGTACATACGCTACGGCGACAACGGCAAGTTATATAAGAATATTTATAATCAAAACTCGGCAGATATGAAGATAGTCATGAGCTGCATTATGAGGCAGAACATTTGCACACACGCAGGCACAGTACTCATATACGTAATATTGTGCTATTGTAAAATTAATAAACTGATGAGAGGGCAGTGAGAACTGGTGTAAGCATACACGAATAAATGGTCTAATTATAGCTTATATGGCAAAAACATCGTTCTGTTGACAGTTCTTGATTAGAATAAAATCAAGAGCTTAAAATACATGTATTATATATATAATGTATGTATTAGCTCTTAATAAAATCTGTATCATATGACGGTATTGTAGTTTAGCTGTTATTCGCCAAGATTAGATGAGAATGTTGGTACTGCCTGATCGACTGTCGAAAATATATGTAAAGTATTCACATTTAAAACTATCGTGTCTTTCTTACTACGAAAACCAATAGAAGCCATCGCTCCGCGTGACGTCATCGCTAACACCATCTGTTGCCTGACAAACTCCGTCGAGATTATGTTGCAAATACCGTAAATGCGAATGACTGCATTCTGTACAAAAAAATCACAGACGGCAATATCTCGTGGCACTCGAAGAAAATCGTGTAAATCAAATTGTAATAATCGTAATAAATTATACGCGTGACGAAAAAAGAACACTCTCTGTAAAGACCGTTTGCTGTTTGTTGATGTAAAAACCGATCATCGACTGCTGTGCATGTTATCATTTGCTGCAAGCATGTTATTAAACAACATCCTGGAATTTTATTACCTCCATGTTTGTTCAACGCAGCGCAAGAGCAATGGCCACATGCAGATTTCACGGGGATAAGAAAACATCCGAGCGAGTAGATTTCATTGAGGATATGAGTTACGATGCTAATTCACCGCCATCAATAAATTCGGGAAAGGTTAGAATAATAAGCATCTGACAAATTTTGCAAAGTGAACATTTCACACAAGTGATAACGACGCTAATTCGTGGGAAGGAAAAAAAAGGAACCTTTTTTTGCAACTACCGATCGTATTATTTCACACTTGGGAATTACCCAACACATAGCGTTCGGTATTGTTATCGCATGGATTACTACTAGAGCTTTTTCAATTTAACTAAAATTTGCTTAAAAATATGCATTTTACTGTTTTCCTTAGCGTTTTAGTGGGCTTACATCTGTTCTGCCAATAAGCCATATCGGAAAGTCCCCGCCGCCATATTGAGATCAGATAAGAGGGGTATAAACTGCCCTTTTATAACATTGTTAGGATAGGACTGGTCTAGGTTTTTGATCAATAATTCTCTTCACTAACATCGTACTTCAATTCACAGGTGCGTTTCTGTTTATATAAACATTTACAAATATGATTGTGGTTATTTGGGATATTTCTTAATGCAAAAACGAAAAACGCACGAATGGTTACATTAATGATGTACTTTCCTAAACGCGCCTCGGCCATTTCATACCCCCTATTACTGAGACCTATTTAGCACAGCTGGACTTTCCGATCTCACTTATTGCATCATAGGCAAATTTATAATTACCAAGCTGATCAGTTTTATCTAAACAAACACAACAAAAGACAACATACATACCGGATGACAGAACGTATTCAGAGGTTTTATTCCACTGCATAACAGCCTTGCGTATATTCAAGAAAATGCGCTCTCTACTTAAAATATATAATTTTAACTGAATGAACTTTCTTTTAGCAGACATTATACATGCGCACACTCACTGATCTGATCTAATAAATTATACTACTTTTAGGGAGGTTCATATTAGCTGGCACACTTTAATTGTTAATATATGTGGGATTCATATTTGTTATAATATTATAAACAAACTATACCAAGCATGACCACCCGACTTATAATAATTTATGTAAATTTCAACAAAACGTGATTTCCTCTATAGCCAATAGCGGGCAATAGCGGGCATAGGCATAACAGGCAAGTCTGTTCGTATATAGGCCTATCCCATATTTAGAGGTTTGAAAGATTTGCGGCCTTATAATTAATTAAGTGAAGCATTTGAGGTGTTGACATTCTTTTCTAACTACTCCTGAGTAAGGGCGCTCTCTAACGGTGTATATATTCATACCAATTCGTTTGGCAATATACCACTGAGCTTTATATAATGACGGTTATTATATACAGCTCTGTGCATTATACCAGAGCACGTATATACCAGCATCATATGATGTACGTGCTCTGATTTCCGGCTCTGATTATACACAGAGCCGTATCATAATAACATGAGTAGATATTAGGTGTTCCTATTATCTACTCCTGATAATAATGTTCTCTGATTATACACTTCCACTATGCGACACTAGCGCCGACCAACGGCGATGAATAGAGTACATAATCTCACCGCGTTCCGATGAATCGGGATGTTGAGAAGTATGAAATCCTACTCACTATTTAAAGGAGGCAAAGGAATCCTGATTCCTCGAAGAAAGCTACTCCTAAATAGTTTAAACGAAACGCGATTTCTATTAACAGTAAGCATGCACACACACACACACAGTCACACACACACACACACACACACACACACACACACACACACACACACACACACACACACACACACACACCGCAGACGTGGGAAATCATGCGATTTACATTAAAAATCTTAAAATCTAGCAGTATGTTCGTATTTACTATGTGTAGACGAAATTCCATGGCCTCTTAGGAATACAGATAAATAGGTATTAAGAGGGGCAAAGTGGCCTTGCTGAGGCGCGGGCACTCAAGAATCACCCGAATAAGGCAGGTATTTTTCATGAAGTCTGGAAACAGAGCCACAGCTGACATTCCCCATCTTTCACAAGTCAATCGTTTTTCATTGCATCCTTTGGGCAGAGTTGGCGCCGGGTGGAATTCACGCATGACCCGTTTACATTTAGATATGTCACATTTAGCAATATATATATATATGCGTATGTGTATAGTCAGTCAGCGAGCAAGTCAGGCAAGCATTCAATCCCGATTTTTACTGAAGCATGCAAATATTGTCAGGCTGCTCTTAGCTAGAGCTAGTGCACGCGCTTGAATCACGCATTGCTCATTTGCATTAGAAATATAAACTTTAGGGTGCGTGTGTGTGTGTGCGTGTGTGTTAGTATGTTTACGCCCGCGAGTGTGCATGTGTGTGTGGGGCGCGCGTGCGTGTGTTTACATCTGTGTGTATAGATATGATTATATATATATATATATATATTTATTTATATATATATATATATATATATATTATATATATATATTTATGAACGTTACTAATCCTGACAAGTGGATGGAGTAGTCAGATTACGTTGTTGATTAAACTGTACAAATTTACGAGCGTCGTAAAGGACAGCAAATTTCTTCTATACACACGCGCTGTCATCGTGGGCGGCCTCTAGATTTTATTATCGATACAGCTAACTTTTTGGTGCTCTATCGTATTCAAATCGCTCAACAAACAAATGCGCTGCTGTTGATTTTAAAATTGCTGGTGACAGTTGAATGTTCACCATGTCAGGTACTTCCACTTCTGGGCATTGATTGGTTTTGCTGACATGCGGTTTGGGTATAAAATTCAGGTTATTTGGGATTCCGTTTAGTTCATTGTGTAAGGAGAGTCATACTATCACAGGTTAACAGCCGATATAATCCCGGGTACCATGGCGATGTTCCTTGATTTTGACCGACGGTTTGGGTAGGACATCTTGCACGACCTACCTAACAGGAGATGTAGGAATCTTACTATCCGTCGATTTTCATTCCAGGAGCGAGATCAACAAACAATTCTACAGCATTACTATCGGCGATCGCATGTTTTAGGCATGTTATTCCTGCTCGTCGGTACAAACGGGTTGAGAGAAGAAACACACCCGGCAGATCGTCGAACAACATACAGCGCAACTCTCGAAGCGTATAGCAATTCAACGTCTTACGGACGCTTGCGTTCGTGCTATTACCACGACAGAGACGATCAATAAAGAAAACGCATTCAAATCATCCACGAGTCAACATGCGGACTGGAGGAAACTGACCGAAAGAACCTTAAACATAGGTATATTGGCCGCTAATAGCCCATTTTTTTAGAGAAGGAGGCAGAGCTTCAGTTCGGCAAACAACAACGGAGAACCTTTCCCTTCCACGACGGCTACCAATTTAGCCAGAGCCGGAATATGAAACTGTAGGCGATGCATCCGAGACTATCTGGTACCGTCGAATAAGATTCCTCTTAGTAAAACCAGCCTTGTCAGGGCTAACTTTCTTCAAGAAATTGTTTTCCACATTTGCATTACCATCCCTTTATAGGATTATAAGGTTA